GCAAGTTCTTGCCAACAACTGACAACAGCCAGCTCGTGCAGCCAATTGGGACGCCGCCGTCGACGATCCGGAGATGGCGGGTGGTGGTGAACAGCGTGTTCATGTTGGACCGTTGGAGACGCCGGTGCACGACAGCGTGGTGGTTGACAGGCCCAGCCCCGAGACCTGGTCCTCGCCACCATCCGGCGGATCAGAACTCACGGCCTCATCAACGGCTGCGCCTTCCTCTCGCGTTTCCGGGAGACGCTCTTCTACAACTCTGCCATGCCCAGGGGGAGCGACCACTGCCTCGTCCCGGAGCTCCACGTCCTCGCGCCCTCATAATTCGCCATCAACGTCGTCGCCTGACTCGCCTCCGAGGGCCGGACCGACCGCTTCGACTCGTACAGGCAATGGTAGCGCAGGATGCAACGAGCCGGATTAAAATCTCCTGTTTAGTACGTATTTGCTTTGCTTTTCAGCATTGACAACAAATTCTTCACAAGTTCAGAGCCAGCTGGAGCCAGTTGGGTACTATGCAGAAGAGAAACAATTCAGACCGAGACTAGTGTAAGCTGATATGTGAGCTTAAACGATCAGTTAACCACCACATGAGTAATTTAGCGCATGAAGTCATCTATGCAGGATTGCTCAACTAGAGACAAGAACGTTATGCCCAAAGCCAACACAGGCAGAAAGAATACATACACACCCCTGACAAAATTATCAGATTTAAGTTTAGCATCGCTCCACCAAACGTTTCCTTTCGCTTGTGGCATGGGCCTTAGTTTCAGTCACTGAAAGTCTACTTGCAAGTCTCAATCACTGCAGCCCTACTATATTTTGCAGTAACCATGCATTATTGGTCAGGTGGCTCGTCCTCACCAAACCACCTGGGAGGATCATACCCATATCCACCTGCGAGTACATCATATAACACAGGCTGATATGGTGCAGACCTGAGAATGACAAAGAGACACCCATAATAACTATGTATACCAAGAGAAAAACTGCTTACCAAGAGGATTACAACGACACAGACGCCAAGCAGTCAAGACCGTGCCCTTCACAACACCATATCTTTTGTATGCCTGCATAGAGTACTCACTGCAAGTTGGCACATAGCGGCAGCTCGAAGGAAGTAAAGGTGATATTTCTCCTGTTCACACCAAGCTGGATCTATGAGCAATCTATATAGAGATGAAATTTATATAAGGTATCATGATGTTAAAAGTTATCAACACGGGCAGCCAATTTGAAATCCCTTGAAACCATGAAAAGTAAACACACTCAGAATACAAAAGCTGCAAACAAGAACTTACTTTTGTAAAACTTAAGCATGGATAGTGCGATGTTGACTCCCACATCATTGACCTCCTCTGTTCAGAATTACAAAATACACAAATTGTAGTCAATCATACCAGTTATGCAAATTTACACAAAAAATCACAAGTGCAGTTATTTAACAAACAATTTTCAGAGCACAATATGCTAATGCCTCGCTGAAGAAAAATTACTAGCAAGCAATCAAATACCAGAACCAAATGTTAAAAATTATTGCCCCATTTCTCAATCTGGTACCACTACATATACTGACCTTCGTCGTCAACAGCACATCGGACCCGCGTCGCTGGAATCATTTTCTTCTTCTTCTGGTATGAAGCTCCAAAAGTAACTAGGGATCAAGAACAGAAACCGCCATTAGTCACTTGTTGCAACACAGAAACCGATTAATAAATCTTTAACTAGATGGAGGGAAGGAAGCACGACGATGAGAGTCACTCTGTGCTTGCCATGGCGATGGGACGGCAGCGGCCATGGCGATGGCGGCGCAGGAACACACGCAAACAAGCGGTGGTTGGTAATTCCCACGGATTTGTTTCTCTCTTTGTATGTCTCGTTTTAGAGGACAATGGGATTAACGGACTGCTTTGGAACCGCAAGCATACATGGGCCAAGCTTGGGCCAATTTTACTATTTGGCTAGTTGTGTTAAGATTTGGGTGGTCAATGGCTAGCAATATTCCTATACATCTGGCTTAGCGGAAGGCACATTCGGATGTCTTTTGCAAGTGAAAACCAAACAAGTGAAAAAGTAGATTTGCTACACTACATAAGCCTATCTAGCTCCTTATACACAAACCAATCACACCGATATTGCACCAATGCAGAACACTGTTGTAAGACACATGTTGGGTTGGGATTTGATTTATTTTTAATTTATCTTTCATAGATTATAAATCAATTTTTAAATCTGTTTGAACCATCGTATTATTTGTAATCAATGCATCAAAACTATATCCAATTTTAATATATTTTAAGTCTGTTTAAACCGTCATGGTTATTTTTGACGAAAGTGGGTCAAAAGTTGAGCAGGTTCATGCGCGCTCACTATGGGTTATGGAAGTGAAGCAAGCTTTGCGTTCAGGAGAATAATGCAATCTAAGAGCATCAGCAGTACTTACGCATTTCAACAGTGGACATTGTACAAGGCCGCTGGTTTAGGCGAGGAGAGCCCAAGGGCCTCGCTGCTCGAGCTTGCATCGCCGACTTGCGCGGCGGCTCCCGATCGCGTGCCCGGCCACCAGAACCACCAATTTGCGCGGCGTCTCGAACTCGCACCACCGGACGTCGTTACTGCGTCGTCGCCTGGGATGGCGCCCCGCCGTTGGCCTCCCGCACCGTAGAACGACGCAAAGGAGAGAAAAGGCTGACCGCATGAGTAGATGAGGTTGGGGATGGATAAGAGGGTTCTTTGCTGGCCCACTTTTAGGTGATTTTTCTTTTATTATTTTTGTTGTTTTTGCACTTGACTTGCATGTTCTGCACAAAATATGAGTTGTTTTTTTTTAGTCATTTGCATAAACGGTCCACTTTCGAATGCTAATTATGGATTCGGTCTTTTTTCTGAACTTTGCAAAAATAGTCCTGTTTTTTAAACTTGAAGCTGCCGTCAGGTCTACTTTTTGGATACCGTCTAGTAATGATGATTTTTGGAATTAAAAGAAATAAAAAAAAAATTGAAAAAGAGGAAAAGACCATGCTGCCTCTGGCCAAATCCCCTTCTCTCTTTGTGCCCGACCCGACCTCCTCCTCTCCTCTTTCAGTTCCGTTCCTCTGTCTCTCTCTCGGGCTCCCAACCCAACCCCAACCCTAAGACTGCAGGAGGCGGCGGCGCATCTGGGAGGGAGCGGCGAGGGAGGCTGCAGGCACTGCGCGTGCGGGCGGATGTGCGCGGCCTGGCGGGCGGGCGGGTGAGGCTGCGCAGGCGGGCGGGCGAGTGGGCGCGCGTGCGCTCACTGTCAGATTTGGAGCGAGCACCACCATGGCGGAGAACAGATGCCTGATTTGGAGCTAGAGAGGACATAAAGAATACGGGAAGAACACGATTGGGCACCATTTGATCTCGGAGATGCCTCAAATGGGTTGCTTTTACATAGAGGAAGCACACCATGATTGCTCTCAGTGAAATTACTCATTACCCACATCCAATTTCATGGATTTTAAGAGAGAGAGAAAGGAGAAAGTAGCAAAAGAAGGAGATGCGCTTTGCGTGAGGAAGAGGATGAAGTGGTGGGGCCAGGAGTGGTGTCTTGCGTTGAATGGGCTAGCAGTGGTGTTAAATATTTTTCAGATTTTAAATTCATGTATAGAATATTCAAAATCATTTTAATTTGGCTGAAAATTCATTCAAATATCAGAATTTTCAGTTTCATACCAGTAATGCTCAAAACAGTACCAAGTTTGCAAAACTTTGATAAAATAGGACCAGTTTTGTAAAGCATAAATTGGTCCTTTTACAAGCTATTTAACACCGTTAAGAGCTCTTAACGGAATAGGACTTGTTCATGTCTTCAGATTCAAAAAACAGGACCGTTTTTGCAAAGTCCAGAAAAAAGTCCGAATTCGTAATTGGCATTCAAAACAGAACCGGTTTTGCAAATACTTTTTTTTTAGCCCGCCGTGTGGGTCTAATGGATGTTTTGACCCTGTTGGCAAAACAGACATGACGAGAATATGACCTTTGGTTAAGAAAAAGAAATAGCTCTAGCATACCGTTGATTGATCCTAACACTTACAATGATTAAAACGTTTGGGTAGATCTTGCTTAAACCACCTAATCATGTATTGAGGAGAACGAAAACGACGGGCATCACAACAAATTACGCCTTTCAGTGGACACTGGCCAAACACCACACTAGCGCTTGAAGAATGGAGCAATGGGCACTGCTGCGCCCGCTGGTGCCTGGCTGGAACAGGGTGGAAACTGGTCCGATAATCGCGGAAAGTAAACCAGTAAAACCGGTCTGGTTAGGTTCCACTGTTTTGTCGGTTTTTGGTTTTAATTTTAAACAAATTTGAATATTTGATGAAATTTGATCGGTTTTAACAGGTTTTCAACAAAACAGGTGACATCCGTTTTTTACGGCTTTGTCGGTTATTGAAACCCTGGACAGTGCTGCGAGAGTGTTGGGAGGAGCAGGCAAACGCGAAGGGAAATCGGGCCCCATGTTTGGGGCCTTTGATGTCGCACTACCTCGCTCTCCTGGTACATGAAGTTTCATGGGAATTTTGTGTTTCTATCCCTAGTTCGCATTGCGATTGCAATCTTGCCTTTTTTTGTCAACTTTGCGATCTTATCTTTGATTTTTCAAACTTAGGCATGAATTTACTTTTATTGAGTAATATCGCAATATTTTTATTACGATTTTATCTTACTTCATTTTGAAAATCAAGAGTAAAATCGCAATAGCAATGCAGATCAAGGGAAAAAACGCAAAAACTCCAATTTCTTTTTCTTATAGCTGTTTTTTTTTGTGATTACACAGTACAACTCATACATTCACAACGCACGCACACTCACCTCTATGAACGCACATACGCAAATCCTACCCCTATGAGCATCTTCGAAGACTGAGCCAGCAAATCCTCCAGATTGACGAAGTCACCACTGGCGTCTCGCTGTCGACGGCCACGTCGTCTACCGCTGAAAGCACAAATACCGTTAAATCTTAGAAAATTCGCTCCCACCGGGAATCGAACCCAGGATCTCAAAGATACTACTCGGATGTCTTAACCATTAGACTAAGACCCTTTTCACAGCTGATTTCTTCTTTTCATACGCACAGATAGAGCTAAGCCGAAAAAGTCGTCATGCTGCCTTCATTGAAATTACGGTCGACACGCACAACACGAGAGGGAAAGGATGCATGACGCAGTAGGAGTTACTTCCACTGTTCCTTTTCTTTTTCTAACCAATCCACTGTTCCTTTTCTTTTTCTAACCAATCCACTGTTCCTTTTCTATGCAGGCCGGTTAGCATAAAACACGGACCGGGGGGGTGGGGGGGCACGGGGATGGAGTGCCTAGCAACCTCACCTATCCTGTAAATGCGACCGGGCTAGCTGGATCAGCTCCAGGATGCTTTTGGTCTATGGTTGGAGTCACTATTGAAACATGCGTATCTGAGACTGTAGGTTTGTGAGGCTCAACACTAAGATACGAATCATACGATACGCCCTTGTATCGCCGTGTGGTCGGGTGACCTCTTACATATCCATTGTGATTTATTAGTACTCCGACAAAATCGTGTTGATGATTTTCAATTTCCTGGTACTTGATCCTGTAGCACTAGCACCACCCGCGGTTGTGCTCGCAGCAGTGTCGCATACACTCACACCCGTGATGCTCCATGCCAAACTAGCGATTCCATGTTTATGAAAACTGGTTGTACTTTGTGCGTATCATTCCTATAACATAAAAAAGCTAGCTCCACGCTTTACTGCGGCACTAACTGAGATTTTTTTAGACAGTACCTGCCAAAGTTCAAGAAATTATATGATGGAAAATCTCCAAAGAAGTACGATAGCTAACTAACATAACCATGTTGTAGGAGTAGGAGCATATTTGTATGAGAACCATTATATCCCTTTTTTTCACACTCCAGCGTGTTTGATCTTTATGCAAAGTTCCATCTCCGATGTAGCGTCACATATAATGGAATTGAAAATGAAACTCTCATTGAATATGCGAAAGGAATTTTTGTGTACTAATTAATAATCCCAGTGGTTGCCTTTTCATACAATCTTACATAATCTAGTATATGTTATGCAGAAAATTCTCTTCCAACTAACCCAAAAGAGAAATTAAGCTCTATGTTGAAAATTTCATGAAAACAACTTGTCTTTTCGGGAATATTACCGTCTTTTTCTCGATTTGTTAAGCGGACCCGGGTAATCATACAAAGCTCAGCCAACGCGGCTCGCACCCAACCCATAGAGGACCATCCAAATCAGAGATGATAGTTAACCAGTCCATCCAAACAATTCCAACGATCTAACCCTGTCAAGATCATGTTCAATCCGCACCAAATCGGAGTTAAACCAGTTAAACGCTAACGAATTGGCATCTACAATAATCACACGCCTTTCGGTGGACAATTACCTCCACAGATCGCCGGCCGGGCTCCACTTCGGTGCGCATCCGTCCTCGTTGGCGCTCGGCGATTCGGCTCCGATCCGAGCGTCCTGCCTTTCTGGCGCCAAGAATGTACTCATCGGCTTTCATCGAGTTTCTTATTGGTTAAGCACGACGGACGATGCGTTTGTGCGCCCTGGCCTGATCGATCATTTCGCGCACTGTGGGCAGATTCCTCCTGCTAGCTTCTCCGAGAATAAAGGGCCCAGGCAGCAACAGATGCCGTGCTGGACTGTCGCTGATTATCCATTTGTTTTCGCTTCCATTATTAAACACCTGGATGCGTCCTCGTGCCGAAAAATTGGTTTTTTTTTCCTTTTTTGCACGCCAAGTGGCTGTGAGGCATTTTCGCGTCATATCTGCTATTGTTTTCGGAGGTCGATGACGCCATTTTTCCTCGTCACCAAGGTTAACGCGTGAAATGGTTCATTTTCCACCTAATAAATGTGTGTAACCGGTCAAAAGGTCCAAGTCTTGACTTTTGGCAAACTTCGGTCAAAGAAAGATTAACAGGAGAAGAGAACATATTCTCCGTGAGAAACACGAGGACGAGCTGAGCTTCCAAGTTCAGCGCATCACCGGAACAGTCTCGGCGAAGCTAGCCCGCTACTCTCAATCTCTGATGAACCGTGGAGTTTGACTGACTCTGTAGAGCAACGTGGTCGTGTCTGTCTGTCAGTCTGTGCTCCCGTGAACGTACTGCAGCGAGCGAGCGATCCGAAAGGCATGGAATAGGAACTGGAATGCCGCCCCCAGGTGACTGTGATGCGACGTGAATACGGCGACAGTGGCCGCCACACCACCGCCCTCGATCTGCTTGCTCAGCCTACTGACTGGCTGGAACCCGTCGCGGAACCAAGCAAACGATGCCGTCTGCCGCGAACCCACCGGCCCGGCAGCCTCGATTCGCGTCGATCGAGACGTCGACGGCACACGCGGAGGCCCTCCGGCAACGTCGCGGCAAGGAATGATCCGGCGATCTAGTTGTGCTCGTAACAAGCTGGTGTGAACCGTGGCTCAATCAGCAGTGGTCGGGACGCGACGCGCTCGAACCAGACTGAAGCGGACCTGGCTCGATGGAGTCGTCGGACAGACTGTGCCTAACTGCCCAGTGGCCGTTCCGCGCACACAGCTTTTTCGTCTCGCTCTTAACTGCCGAGTGGCCGTTCCGCGCACACAGCTTTTTCGTCTCGCTCTCTGCCTGACGGCTTCACGTACACGTCCCCGTCGTGATACGAGCTGGACTCGTATATATTCCCCACCAGCCCGCGCACTACCGTATCAGGGCACCCAGGAAACCCCAGTTTCAGTGACGAAACACCACCGAAGACTCCTCGCTCGCCCTTCCCTCTAATTTGATACCACAGCGCGCGAGTCCTTCCTGGTCCACCGCGAGCGAGCAAAGAGGCCAGTCGACTGATCACCAAGCAGCCGCCGCCAAGAAGAATGTGTTTCCGGTTCGACGCCTGGTGCTGCTTCGGCGCGGTTCACAACCACGACGACGACGACTACGGCTCGCCGCCGCCGAACCACCACCCCGCCGCCAAGACGACGCCGGCAACGGCCCAGCGCAACGGCCACCACCACTACTACAGCCACGCGCAGCACGGCCGCCAGGGCTTCGTTCACAACGCCAACGGCCACAGAGCTGCTCCTCACCACCAGATGCCGGCGGTCGACGAGGAGGACCGCAAGGCCTCCAACGACCTGAGGAGAGTTCACGCGCCCGCGGCAAGCACCAGGGTCGCCGACGGAGCCGGCCACGGCGCACACTACTACCACCACTACCAACGTGAGCCCGCACAGAGAGAGCAGTATTACCCCTACCACTGATCGATCAGCACGAAAGGTACTAGGCCATCATGGCCACATACTAGAGCACACACACAGGCAGTTCAGCTTAGTTTAGTAGCTAGTATGATACAAACAGAGTGAGTGTTTGCAGCAAGCATGGCAGTCCAATCCCTTAATCTGCTCCCTAGCACTGCCTTTGCTTGTTTTTCTCTTTTGGTAGTAGATTTTTGTTTGTCTTTTTGGTCAGTCCGTCAATCTGCAGAAACTGGATGGCATCTGGAGATGTCTGAGACTGAAGGATGCAGATTTTGAACAGAGCTTCTGAATAGCTGTGTCGAAGGGTCCAGGGAGCTTTAGTTAGCGGTCCCCCCAAAAAAAAAGGAGCTTTAGTTAGCAGAGGCTGCTTATCAGCAGCAGTGTTAGGTGTTTGCGGTTGTACATGTTCTCTCCTTGTAATGTCAAATAAATAATTCAAGAGAGCTCTTCCAGTTCTAGTACAAAAGAAGGATCTTGGCAAAAAGACTGCCACCATTTTTGTTCTTACTAAAATACCGTATGTAGTTCGTTTCTACATTTTATCTGTTTCTTGTCAGTTTCCTTCCAATGTACTAGTACTATAGACTTGGCTTCAGTTCGAGATGCTACTGTACTCTGGCTTACTGGAGATAGCATCCCTGAATTCGAGTTCAACCTGCCAGTACTCTGCAATCCATCGGCTGTTGTCATAAACAGTATGAAAAAACAGATTTCATTGAAGGAGTAAAGAGGACTCCGCTGAACTGCAAAAACTTGACCATGTTTTGGCTGGAAAACAATTTTACCTGAAATGACTGATCCATCGGAAATAGGCACTGTAAGTCTGTAACAGCAATGTCCCAGTATATCAATTCTGGCCTTTGTACTCTTCCGAGACTTTTATGGACATATTTGAAATTGGACCTCAAACCCTTTATTGGCGATAAGTTTTCTTTTTGAAGAATCATTACTGCAAGGCACTATTCTCCTTTCCAGAAAAGGAAGAAAGCACTAGCACAACCACTGTAGAAATTTCTACAGGAATGCAAGCCTGCGCTTAGGAACTTATTGTCCAAATTCTCGGATAACCCATTTCAGGAAAGGAAAAAAGTTGGATAATGAATTGAGGGTACAGACTGATGTTGCGCATCCACAAAATTTTTATCAGGAAAGATACAATTGCGACAGGTGTGTGAGTGTATATAACACAGAACAAGCAAGATGGGATATCTACTTTGTTCTGGATTTTTACTCTTTTTATCTTGCGAATATCCGGATTCTTACTCATGGGTAACATCATATTTACCATTTCTCGCGCGTATATTTGACAGATGCTCAAATTTCAAAGGTGGTTATCCTTTTCTTTCAAGGTATCAATCAACCATTCCATTCTTCATGTTTAGCCATTCACGAAGGTGAACCTAAGAAGGTTGTAGCACTTTATCTTTGCCCACAGTCAAGACATTAGCTTAATAACTTGGGAAAAAAGTTATCAAAAGGAGCTTTTACCTTTTCTCCTCTCCTTTTTATGTGTTTGTAGAATGGTGGATGCGAAATAAAAGGCCCCAAACTCCTTTTTTTACTGCTTTGTAAGTGTTAGCCATGATTACTCAAATGACCAAACTAGCTACTTTTTTTTTTTGAAACGACCAAACTAGCTACTTGGTGGCTACTAAATGGCACCAATGAAACACCTGGTGTGATTCCGCCGAAAAGGCAAAGACTGTGTGATAATCCCCGTTCAGGTTTATAAGGCGTATTTTCATTTCATTAATTATAGGCAAAGTACCTGTCTTTGTAATTATGC